TTTTTTTTTTTTTTCCGCCCCCCCCCCCCCCCCCCCCCCCAAACCAACCTTCGAAAGCTTCTGCATTCCGCTTGTCACGTCAGATGTTTTATGTTGCGTTTCTTCGTCAATAGATTAAATGCAACTGATTAGGTTCAACGTCATCCATCATGTCCGTTGTTTTACTTTAGTTACTTTGTGTGTTCCCGCTCTTCAGTGTATATATGACGATTTCATTCCCCTTCTTTTTTTGATGTTGATACTCTGGCACAACCCTTCCAGGGCGTATTGTGTTTTGGGACTTCTGTTCGTGAAACTTCCTTTTTCTACGTCCCTATTTGAACTGTAACGTTTGGCTAGATGCTGCCTGATACCTTTTTAGTTCTAATTGATAAAACTATGAGCATATTTTACGGGCTTTAATTCTTTTCGGAGCTTTATGATATGTCTTCGGGAGTAAGCGTATAACGCATCTATGGAATAGTCACCCTGTCATTGAGGAGCCACATCACAAGCCGCAATTCGCATAGTTTGATAATGAAGCGCCGTTCGGAATGTTGACTAAGAACAGGAAATAAATTTTTTTGGTCATGAAATTTGGCCTAGAATCTATCATCTCGCTGACACATAATCTATCGTGAAAGTGAAGCTGGATAATTTTTTATATCACAGTCGGTAATGATGTCATTGACCAAAAATAGACAAGAAATGTGCCATCGCTTTTTACAAGTCTTTGTTTCAATAAAGGAAAAGGAACCAGAGCCGCCGAATAGAGTCCCAATGCTAACACCAACAGCCTGAAAAGGCAACGGAACATTAAAAGTAAAGCGTTGGAAAAAGAAAAAAGAAAAGAAAAAAGTTTTCTACACAACATTATACCTGCCGCTGGCCGGAGCTCTAGCTTCACTGTCTGCAGCAGCAATAGTTCCTTCTTTTAAAAGGCGCATGAGTTCCCGCATTGCATTGGTAACAACCAATTCTGTGTCTCCTTCAACAAGAATGTATAGCTTGGGGTTCTCGCCCGGCTGAGGCTCTTTGCCTGCTGGGTAAAAGCTGCCTTTAGTTGTGATTGACGTCCCTGTGGCCTCGAGGATTTTCGCAACATTCGTTCGGTTGGTGACGGCCCATCTTGCTTTCTCTGTAGTGACAGTTTTGTTAGTTAAGCATATTCGAAGGGTGGATGGCAGAAAACTGAAAAACTAAAAATACTAAAGCAAATAGATAGGTACTTACGCGGAAAGTCGTTGATTTCTAGGGTGGCGTGGAACGCTCCAGCATCAGGACCCTTATTGTCGATGGGTACACCGGACCGCATGACGCCAGCCTTGTTCAACCGAGCATGGATATCGGCCACCGCGGAGCCAACTTTGTCGAGAGGATTATTTGAAGAGCACGTAGTAGGCTTTTCGGTTTTGTGAACCGTGATCTTGCCATCCAGATCAATCCCCTTGGGAACGCCTGGTGTTGGTGCCGGAATGGATGCAGCTTGGACGGCAGAGGCCGCCTTGGAAAATATATCTTCTTTCTTATCCTTCTTATCCTCTTTTTCCTCTTCTTCACCTTCTTCACCAGTTTTGTACGTTTTCCGTTCACGGTTTCGAGCTGCATCACGTTCCTGGTCGAGACGCTCTAGTCCCTTCCCACCAAACCCAGAGCCACTTGCCTTCTCTTTTCCTGCTTTGACCTTTTCGATAAACGAATTGACCATTTTTTGTACGGCTTCAGGCACTGGTTGGCCGCTCTGTTTCAATGCTTTGGATATATCTACCGAATATCGTTCCTGGACTTCAGTCAAAAACGTCACTGCAGTTCCAGTGTTGCCCGCCCTCCCAGTTCGGCCAGCCCGGTGAACGTAGTCCTCCAGATGGTTGGGAGCGTCGTAGTTTATGACAAGTTTCAATTGTTTTACATCGAGACCGCGAGCCGCAACTGAGGTCGCAATAAGTATAGGAAATACACCAGCCTTGAAGTCAGCTATTGTGGAGTCCCGATCAACTTGATCTTTACCTCCATGGATAGACATGCACGGGTAACCCTTGTGCATAAGGTCGCGGAGCAGACCATCCGCCGCTTCCTGCCGATCAACGAAGATCAAAGTACGAGCGTCCTCGTTGTTGTCATCTGCGTAAAGGTCACCGAGTAGAGCTAAGAGTCGCACAAATTTAGTATCTTCATTGCGGACTTCTACAATCTGTGTGATTTCTGGCGCAACAACGCTTCTTCCGCCAACGACAATTTCCACTGGTTTGGTTAACGTCTTTCGAGCAAGCGCTTCCATGTTGCGCGGGAAGGTGGCTGAGAACAAAACCGTTTGTCTCTGTGGCCGGACATTTCCCAGGATCTTCATCACCTGCGGCTCAAAGCCCATGTCAAACATTCGATCCGCCTCATCCAACACCACATATGTCACCCTCCGCAAATTCGTTACACGCCCAGCATTTGCAGCGAGAAGATCAATCATTCTTCCAGGCGTGCAGACGATAATTTCCGCCCCCCGTTTTAATTCAGCGATTTGATCCTTGATCGGGGCTCCTCCATATGCACAAACCGCTCGAAGATTCAACGCCTTTAGGAAAGGTTTGCATTCCTTATGAATTTGAGTTGCCAATTCCCGTGTTGGGGTCATTATCAGCCCTATTGGACCTTCCATGTTTTCTAGGGGCCGTTGATCTTTGATATGTCGGAACATGGGGAGCAGAAATGCGATAGTCTTGCCAGACCCGGTTTTGGCCACTCCTATCACATCTCTTCCTGACATGATTGCAGGAATTGCTTGAGATTGAATTGACGTTGGGTTTTCGTAGTTAAGTTTCCGAATGACATCTAGTGTCTGGACTCCCAGTCCACATTGGGACCATTTCTGCACGGGTTTCGGGACATCAACTCCACGTACTTTTATCCCATCAAGCTCCAATCTCAAAGCTGCGACTTCCTCTTCCGTAAGCCCCGCTAAATCAACCGGCTCAGCATAAAATGCTTTACGGAACGGTTCGTAATTCATCTTTTCATGGTTCACCAGCGGTAAATCTTTCTTTTTCCTTGCTTTGCTGGTAATTGCTAGGAAATCATCTGCTTCGGGATCAATAGCGTTCATATCTACATCATCTTCGTCTCCAAATATTGCTTCAGGTTGTTGTTTTGATTTGGAGAATTTCGCCCCGCTGCGGCCATTTTGAGTCGGGTCAGATTCGGTAAGACCAGACATGAATGCATCTAGTGGGTCAGCTTCTTCTTCTTCTTCTTCTTCTTCTTCCTCCACGTCCATCGCGACAGGAGGGGCAGTGTCTCCAGCAGCATCTGGCATGGCAACATCGCCATTGGGACCGTTAGAGGCCGCACCTTCAGGTAGAACATCGAGCTGAACCTGCCGCACAAGGCCTTGGCTTTGCAGTCGTTCCTCTCGCTTTTCTGCGGCTGCTCTTGCGGCGGCAGCATTCTCTTCCTCCGTTCCACCATCGTGGATATCAACATCGTCATCATCTTCATCAGCGCCATCGACTGCCCCGATGGAATTTTGCTCGTTTACATCTTCCAACGGAGTATCGGGAAGCTTTGCCAGTTTCCGCTGTGTTGATTCCTCTTCACCAAAATCCAAAGCTCTCTTAGAAGAAGTTTTGTCTGTTTCTGAGACCGGTTTAACACCTAGGCCAAAGCCACTTATGGTTCCTCTGGCTTTCAGTGATGTTGCTGCTATTAAAAAGAACTTAGCAAGTGAATTTGTAAAAAGAGGACAAGATGGAATAAAATGAAGGGAATGGAGGCTTACAAGGGGTAGCACTTGCAGAAACAGAAGATTCGTTGGCCTTGCTCGCGGCAATCGGATGAGTGAATGGTGCAGAGGACGTAGAGATACTTGGGATGGCTATGTCCTTGCCCAACAGCGACGGTTCTGTAGATGATGCAGCAGCCTTTTTTGCAATTGCCTTAGGATCAAATTTTCCAGCATATGGGGTAGGTGCAGGTTCAGCCGTGGGAGAGATTGTTGCAGCATCGGGAGATGCGACCCTTTGAGGCAATGAGATCTTTTTATCAATCTCATCAAGAATACTCCTCGCTCCACCTGAAGCTGCAAGTTCCTTTTCTTTCCGCTCTCGCTCTGCTGCGACTTTTTCTTTCCAAGCTTGAAACTTCGCTCTCCTTTCAGCCTTTTTTTCCTCGTCGGTTTGTGCAGGAGTAGGCGCTGGCGTAGAGGGTTTCGAGGTCTTAGAAATGGGATAAGCCTCAGCTCAAGAAAGGTAAAAAAGGGGAGAGTGTGGCAACTGACCTCTTGGGATTTGATGCCAGAACCCTTGTTTAAAACTCGTTCTCTGCTATCGTCTCGTTTAGAATCACGCCTGGAATCAGGAGAGTCGCCCCGTCTTCTCCGGGCCCGGTCACGGGAATCATCTCGCCTGCTTCGACGTTCTCTGTCGCGACTTCTCTGACGATAGTCTCTATCGTCGTCTCGATCACGGGATCGATATCCAGTTCTGGAATGGTCTCTTTTAGTGGGGCGATACGAGTCTTCGTCCCGGCAGTCGTCCCGGCGATCATCGCGCGAACGGTCTCGTCTTCGATAAGAATTTCTCTCCCGATCGCGGTCACGATATCGCCTCTGTAGAAAGAAAAACATTAGCTATAGTACAAATGCCGCACATAGTGGTTTATAATAACTTACATCAGGACTTCGTGACCTCCGATGTCCCTTCACCTCATCCCACCGACTTCTATCATTCCGGTCCTCATCCCTGCGGCTTCGTTTGAACGAGTGGGTGCTGCCTACAGGCGATGGTGAGCGAGTATCCCTAGCCATCTCGCAGGCCAAATTGTGAATGAGTAGGTATTACTGCTGGATAACTCCAAAGAATGATGTGGAGTATGTTTTAATAGGGTTAGCTCTGCGCAAGGGAAGCGCACTTAAGTGTCCACCATAATGTTGACGGCGGACAAATGAACGCAATCTAGGTTGATTCTGCCAATACCTCCTAGAAATATATGGCCCTTTAAATCTCTTCACCTTTTGCTCGACTTAGGATGTATGTAGTTGTAAGAGTGAAAGTCTTCTGTCGCCATCGAAATTGGAAGGTTGAGTCTTTTTGGAGCGGAAGGGAGCATCATTTGATATCTTGGCAACGCTATCCCCAAACGGGCTAGTGGTTTCTGAGACGGGGCTTTCCTCTTTTCGTCTGGATCTAAATAAACAAACCTCCTCGTTCATTCCACGACTGCATCATCTCATCAACATCACATCATTGCCGCCATCTCTAAAAGGAGGTAATCCATTGTCAAAAGGCACTGCGCAACCTATCCTGTACAATTATCTTTCTTTTCTGTGAATGCTTGGCTAATACCTCATTGCCCCCCCGAAATATACTACTCCATTTAAAATGACTCTTGTTCTCTCGCGCCGTGGTCGTGTGCTTCTGGCATGTGCGAAGTTGGTTGAAGCAAAACCTGCTAGAGCTCGCGTGCTACTTGGCAATTCTCTGGCATTATGTTCTTCTATCGGCTCTGTTCGAACTCTCTCGGCATCGCGCAATTCCCGATTGTTCCGTCACCCGCTGCCGATTCTCTTAAAGAAAACGTACGCGACAGCGACTGGAACAGCAAAGGCTGACACTGCTGCTTCTAAGGCAGGTTCCAAGCCGGTTAAAAAGAAAGCAGCAACCGCGAAAAATCCTTCCAGGAAAACTGTAAAGAAGTCGACTAAGGCAAAACCCAAAACGAAATCCAAGGTCAAACGTTCCCGCAAGCCGAATAAGCAGTTGACCGAAAAGCAGATGGAAACTTTGCGAAAGAGGAAGGCTAGAGAGATGATCAAAAATTTGAAGGCTGTCGCACTGGTTCCTCCGAAAGGCCTTCCGGAAACACCTATCATGCTCCTTCAAAAACAAATGAAGCAATTTGGGGGCGCTACTGAAGCTTACAAGAATTTAAGTCCAGCTGAACGCGAGGTAGGATGAAATGCCCTGCACCTACCATTGCCAAATTCCTTTTGGTGTGAAGTTACTAATTAGATCATTCAGAGTCTTAATCAAACTGCTCAATTGAACCGCGCTAGTAACAAAACCATGTTTCAAGACTGGGTGAAGAGTCACACACCTCTTCAGATCAAACAGGCCAATATGGCCCGCCAAAGGCTCCGCAAATTGTTCAAAAAGCCGAGGCGCTTCATGAAAATACGTGATGATAGACAGATCAAGCGACCAGTTAATGCATACTTGTTTTTCCTCAAGGAAGCATTCGCAAGTGGAGGCATATTCGACAAAGAATCAATGTCCAAGACTGCGGCCGCATGGCGAGGTATGACAGCGGGTGAAAAGGAGGTTCGTAAGATTTCCTCAATTTCAGATCCTTTTCCTTTTGTTATCCCCGCCCCAACTTGCAGTCAAAACAACCTACTTTTATACAAATCTGACAGGAGCTTCAACAGAAATATCAACAAATGGCACTTGAGAATAAGAACAAATACCTGCAGCAACATAAATCTATTTATGGCATGGAAGCCCCAAGTCAGTCTAAGTCCCCAAGTCCTGCGTAAATGACACCTCTGGAACGAAATCCTGTAATTCTAGCACAGACTAAAACCAAGGTGGATGGCGGGTTACTGTTCTCCTTAAGGTTTTCACTTATTCTCCCTATATTAGTTCTGAATTTGGTCTTCCCCGAGCTCATTTCTACTATTCTCAAGCTGGCATTCGTCCATCTATATACTGAATACGTTCAGCTAGCTAGGCGCACTCCTTTGGTATACATGTCTGTTATTGTCACTGGCGTCTTCTGTCATTACCATTGTTTAACGTTGTTTTCTGTATGGAGAAAGGGGAGATAATTGTTTATGCTATTTGTTAGCCAGATGACATACACTGTTTAAAGCCCCTAAGTCGATACGTGTCGACCTTGGGGGAGCAGCGCTTTAATTAAGCATTGTAAAGTCAATCAGGCCTTCTGAAGCGGATGGAATATGTACCAGCATCAAATTATTGACAAGATTTGTGGCATATGACATGTCCATTTGCCTTTCTTGCATCCCTTCCTGCTCGCTGCAATCGGGAATTGATAAGAGATGAAAGACTCGCAGCTTCAGAGTATGTGATTGATGGATCTTGATGCACAGTTCAGTGTTTCGAACAGGGATCTTAGGGTCTGAGGGTCTTCCGTTTCTTCGCCAAACAATAATAAAAAAAAAATAAAGAAAAATAATCTGACCTCTTTGCAAGGCAGAATAAGTAGCAGAAATTCTTCTCATATTGGCAGAAGTCTTTGTCTTCAATCTGACAGAATGGCAAGCCTGATGGATTGCAACGGTTGCTAACTGGGGAAAAAAGGTCACGTGATGGAAGGGTCTGACACAATCTTCAATCTTCAGGTTGTTAACTACAATCTCATACAAAAATAGATAAGTAATGCGTACAAAGATTCATTTTCTTACACTTGTACCCATGTGAAATCCTAAACAAAATATGAAGAGAGAAATACATGGACAACTGAGCTTCTGGATTCATTGAGAGGTATTTGAAGTCTATGGATGTTTTTCTTTGTTATGAGGTTTAGGTAGTTAACAAATGCTTCATTCAATGGAGGAAGAGTTGCTAATAGCTTGTCATAACTATAGTTAAACTAGTTAACGTACTTCACCGAGCGGCTGATTCTCTTTGAAAATCATCAAATATTCAACATATTCAACAACCAACACACTTAAATATTTAAAATATCAATAAATTAAGACTATCTAATAGTTGAATATTTATTGAGGCAACTGTGTATAGTATGTTCAATAGTCCCACAGCTGCTGCAGCACAGTGGAGCTCACTGGTAACATATAACTTCAATGTGAGTTTCAACCTGCATATCAAGCTACTGAACACACCTATGACCTTCCTGTATAGATAGAATAGTATCCTGACCTAGATTAGCATATCTCCATGTCTTTTTCTTTGTCTTTTGCTCATTCTCTGCTTATAGAATCTTGATTTCTTGATGAAGAAGAAGAAGAAGAAGAAGAAGAAGAAGAAGAAGAAGAAGAAGAAGAAGAAGAATAGAATACTCTTTTGATTCTATATATTCAATAATTGTGATTCATTCACAATTCTTCTGGATAACTATACATGATCTCTCATTGTGCTCAGCTGCAGTAATGACTTTAGAGATTGTATAAAATCTCATTGCAAAGCTAGTCTCATCAAAATTCCAGATATCATCTTCATAAATTTCATGTTTTTAAATAGCTTCATATACCATCTCTAATCATTGTTTTATAATCTTTGAATTCTCCTGCTTTGCCCATTGATAGGATATACAGTGATTATAGTATATATGTAGTTGGGAATAGTGTTGAATGAATTTAAATGTTTAGTTGACTTCAAGAATGATAATAGAATCAAAAGTATATGCTTGAAGTAGAATCTATACTATTTTATATAGAAACTTCAGTCAAATTGAAAAGCCTCACTTATCTACATTCAGTAATTGCTTGAGAAGGATTTCCTCTTCAATTTCTGTCAATTTGTGACCATTTGTATGTATTTCTAAGCATGATTTGATGCCAGCAAGTCATTTGCACAGGGTAGTTTAAGGAACCTCATATATCTTTGAAGCTTTTGTCTTTGATATATATATATATATATTTGGATTTATATGAAGCAATGACCAACTGTGTGTGAGATTCTTGAGATAAAGACATTTTGAAGAAAAAGTGTGAAGAAATGAAGGTTGAAGATAGTTGGGTTGAATATTTGATGATTTTCCAAGAGAATCCGCCGCTCGGTGGTGAAGCACGGTACAAGTCCCCGAGATGTCATATTTTCATTCCTTGCGTTTTGTGATGCTTTTAACTATAATATGGTTGAGTTCTCCGCCGGGTCTTAACTAGAGTTAGTAGCCTAGGCAGATCAGAACAGAGCATTAGTCCCTTTTGAGACGTCGCTAGGGACTCCACCCCGACGGGCTTTACCGAAACTTGCTGCTGGCGCCCTCGCCCATCGCCAGCCACCAGAGCCTTGCCCAAGCTTGCAACTGGGAGGTCCAAGTCAGTTGTTTCTCTGGGGTTTGTTTTGTATTTTCCTAAATATCCCACATGCGTCACGTTGAAGAAAATGGGAGGGTTTGAACTATTAACATTTTCATATCTTGCCTTTTATATCTTCTTCTTCTCCATCCCGCCGCCTCCTTTGGCTTGGGATGCTTATCGACTAACACTCTAGCATTATTTTACTTTATTTTTCTTTACTTTTTTTTTTTCTTTCCTTTTTCTAGCTATCTTGTGATTGATTAATTAGACGATCCGTACGATACACAGACAAAAACTAATTGAAGTCAAAGAGCAAGAAGAGAAAAAGCAAATACAACCATCAAGAACGACCAGCCTCAGCGACGAGCCTGAGAGAGAGAAGAGAAGGGAGCGCGATCCCAACCAGTCACTTGTTGTTTTCGCAGCAACTGGATTGTTCCTTGCGTGATATCACCTCCGCGTATTCCCAATCATCGTCCGCCCACACCCTCCCATTCATCAGCCCACTTGGCCCAGTTTCCGACTTTCCACACCACCAACCGCTTCCAACTAGCATCGACTTGGGTTCAAGCCTGCAACACGGACTGAATAGGCGAATCCGAAATCTGATGCACCCGACTGTAGAAGGCTGGAACACCAACAAGAAGGGAGAGCATGGTTTCGGGGACCGGTGTGGTGACCGTTTTGCATACATAACGCGACTTTTGATACAGCATCCACATCCAGCCGCACACTGACAGACGACAGAGACAAAAACTAGAACTAACCGTGAACTGCTTTGATTTTGCTCAGGGATCCTTGTG